TTATTACCTTTTATATAGCGCTTGCTTATGTAATAATGTCTAGCAATAGTAAGGAGTCTAGGTTAATTCTTAGGTATGCCCTAAAAACTAGCAGCGTGGGTACTAGACTGTGTAGGCTAGCTATGTTGTTTAGAGCCTTAACTGCTATCTGTAGAATAGCCTTATTATCTGTACAGTCACCTAGCTTAGTCTTTAGGATGTTAAACACTTATTAGAGAGGTGCGTGCGCGCGCTTAACCTTTCTAACTACCTAATGTGCTTCTACAGGCATCTGCCTGCATGTAGCTCCTATAATCTTTATATAAGCTTAAAAATCCTCTAAAGCAAAGTTTATACTAAAGTTATGCATAATATAGTCTAGGGGTCCTTAATAGGTGTTAATTTAGCATTTGCACAGTGCATCCTAGGTATCTTGTGCAGACATAGATTTTAGGAATGTAGCAGCCTAAAATAATGTGTCTGCATTAATAACATGTAAGACATCTTTATTATTAATTTATACAATATTAATAACAACTTTATAGTTAAAGTAGGTGTTATTCTTAATTATAAACTTAAATTTTTATAAGGCCTAGTTATATAATTAGTAAAGGTAGCAGAACTTCTTAATCTCTTCTAGCACTGCAGCATTAATGTTGTGGCTAGCGCTAGTTAGCATCTTCTAGAGTTTCTTTATGCAAGGGTGTCTAAATTAGCAGTAGAGGCAGTAGAGTTCTAATTTAGTAAAGAAAGACATAGATTCTTCCTTACTAACATTAAAAAAAAAGTGTCTCTATTTTTATATAATAAGTACAGTAGTTTTGTCTTTATGTATAATAACATTTAAAATGTTATTAAAGTATGCCTTAAGTTAGTTAGCATCTGCTAGTAATAGTAAGAATAGTGTTAGAGTCTCTAAGATGTAGTATGTAACTAGACTAATTAAGTTCTAGATTTATATAGTACTAATTAATCTCTTTAGTGTCTAGCCTTTAAAGCTAATATCTGTTTAGCTAGGTGTCTAATTAATTTCTATATATAGGTTCTTTTATATGTACGCCTTAAGTTAGGACTTACTAATAGTAGAGATCTTTGCTGCGCCTGTGTCCTATAGTTTACCTTAGTATACTATACAGTATTAGTTATTAAGGATAAACTACTTAGCATATTTCTTAGGTTTAATGCTGTAGATGTCCTCTCCTGTTGCATAGTATAAATAGGTAGCAGAGGTAAAGTAGTTAACAGCTTTCTTAGCATTCTTACCCTTCTATTTTATTTTCTTTGCATTATGCAAATTATTCTCTTTCTTAGAGTAACTTTTAAAGTCTTAGATGTACAAAGTAATAGCTTTATATAATAAAGTCTTATTATAGAAATCTTTATATAAGGCAACATACTAGTTCTTTGCTTATATATAGTTATTATAAGGGTAGTTTAATAACTAACATTTTTTTTTATAGCAGACAAAGCACTTCTTTATCTGTGTGCAGTTATCTCTAAATTGTAGCCTAAACCTAGATAAAGGTCTTCTATATTATTCTTTTCTGCGCAGAGGGAAGCTTTCTTCTTGTTGTGCAGACTCTTATTATGCAGAGTTATATTAGTAGTCTGTGTAGTATGCATTAGGCAGTTTCTAGAGGTATTAGTTTACCTTTTAGTCTATAGTAACTTAGAGTAATGCCTGTAAGTTACTAAATAAGGCTTTGCATAAGGGCTTAATAGTAAACATAGCATGTTCTAGTTCTAGTTGTCCTTAACAGGCTTATATAACAGCAGTGTGCAGTAGAACATCCCCTTAAAATTCTGTTTTTAGTGCCCTTTATATAAGCGTAAGCTTATTAATTATTATTTTAAAAGCTTTATGTAAACTCTTATTAAGGTTTTTTTATTAGCATTATATAAAGGTTATTATTGTCTAGTCTGTCTAGTACTAGCTATAGTTTACATTAGTGTTAAAGTAACTACTTAAAGTGTTGTACAAATGCTTCTAGTTATGTCTAGGGCCTATGTTATGCATATAGTACATATTCACCTAACCTTTTAGGATATCTAGAAAGATGTCTGTGTACTAAGTTTTCTAAATATCTAGCTATTAATATAAATTAATAAAAATTCTTATTTTATTTATAAAAATGTTGTATAGTTAACTTATGTAGTTATTATTTTTTTTTTATGCCTTTTAAAATTATATAATCTTATCTGCTAGGAGTTTTTCTTTAGCAGTTTCCCTCTAGAGTAGAAGTTTGTACAGGCTGTAATGTGGTATAGATTGTGCAGGTGGTATCAGTGGTGCATACACTACTGCAGGCGGTGGTGTGTACGATTAAGGGTGTGGAGCAGGCGTTGGGTAGAGTGGCATGTATTGTTTATACAGTAATTAGTGTAGTGCTAGCTAAGGTGTAGAAGCAGGTAATACTAGTATGTTTAGTGTTAATAGCAGCATTATGTTTAGTCTGCTTCTGTGCAGAGCCTTATATAGTAATAGAAGTTGTGTACAAAGCCTTTCTAGTGCAATTGCCTTCTTTTATGCTATATTATATAGCTTCTAGGCTTAGGTACCTTTAGTGCCTAGCTGTGGTGTAATTCTCTTGTCCTTTAGCACTTATATAAGCTCCCTTTTAAACGCGTAGCTAAGTGCTAAGAAGTTTTATAGTGTCTATCTTTTAAAATCCTTTATATACACACTTAAAAAAGTAGCGCTCTTCTAAGTTATTATGCGTAAATTAGTAATTATGTAACTTATATATAATTAAGTCTGTAAGCTTATTAAAGCCTTTAACATGTTAATCTTATTATTTTAGTACTCTAGGCTAGTCTTGTTCTATAGTGTTGCCTCTAATATCTCTATGTCCTTTATAAGTTGTTTATATAATAGGAATTGTTTCTTATTTTTCTTGTTATTACGCAGAGTTGTTAGTTGCTAATAAAATTTTATTATAATAGTATAGTTAATTGCTTTTCTAGTAGATTGCGCAGGTACTGCTGTTATCTAGCTGCTAGGTTGTGCAGCTTTAATAGCTTTAGTGTACGCCTTACACTATCTCCTCTTTACTTTGTATAGTAGCAGAGCTTGCTGTGCAATATAAAGGATTAATGTGCTATTGTCTAGCTGCTAGGTTGTGCAGCTTTAGTAGCTTTAGTGTGCGTCTTGCACTATCTCCTCTTTACTTTGTACAGTAGCAGAGCTTGCTGTACAATGCAAAGGATTAATGTGCTATTGTCTAGCTGCTAGGTTGTGCAGCTTTAGTAGCTTTAGTGTGCGTCTTACACTATCTCCTTTTTACTTTATATAGTAGCAGAGCTTGCTGTATAATGTAAAGGATTAATCTGCTATTCTAAGGGATAGGTAACTAAATAAAGTACCTTATAAGGTGTAAGTACTCTGCTATTACTTTTCTTAAGGGATAGGTAACAAAACAAAGTACCTTATAAGGCGTAAGTACTTTATTGTTACTTTTGCTAATTTACAGTTAATTAGATTAACTACTAATTAGTGTTAAATAGGCTCTAATAGCTAGCTGCTTATAGTATAAGCACTTAAGTAG